GACCAGGAAGCAAAGAGACACTGTATTCAATCTGTCTTCTTCCCCGCATTCCGCTTCAATGCCGAGCGGAGATAAGCCCCCTGGATAACTGCTGGATATCCTATTGGCTAACTGTGCGGCTATCTGCGTCCCGAGTGTCGGCCTGTTGCCTGAGGCAGAACCAAGGCAAGGTGTGCCTTACAACATGACCGCAACGTAATTGAAAGATTTTCACCCAATTCCCGCGCCAAAGTCCATATACAATCCAGCCATAGTCGCTCCAACGTCTGCCCAAAGATCCGAAACTCCAGCGCTAAAAGCCCGATTTAGACTCCGTAAAAACATACAAAAAAAGGATAAGAGCCTCTGAAAGCAGTCCTGTATCAATCGATTGACCCATCCACCACTTGGTCAAGAAGACCACGAGTGAACACTGCTCCTCTGCCTCGATCCGGAAGTCGTAGAGCCGCGAAAAGCGTAGAATCAGGTTCTTTCCGTCAAAGTTTGCCTCCATGACCCGGACCCGGACCCGGGAATCTAGGAAAGGAAACAGCAGCACCTGACCGATCCATTAGTCACCGTGGATCATCATATTTGGATTCGAACAAGATAAATGAGAAGAAAGGTGGCGACAGGCTGCCTACCGGGGCATCTGCATACGCACGAGTCGCTTTATGCGTCAGGCGTGCTTTGGTGATCGTAATCAGAGTCAGCAGCTCGGCACGTAAGAGCCGCTGGTCCGCATCATTCCCATCGGTATCGTGAATCACCATCACCTTCAGATGAGGATGCTGCCCGTTGGCTGCGTCTCAGACCGCTTCCACTTGCCACCGCGGCGCCTGATTCTCTAGGAGAAGACCGAAATTGGTGAAATCCCCGAGACTATCAAAGACACGATTGGTCGTGGGTCAGATTGTTGGTTTATCACGCCTGCCCTCCCAGCAGAGGGACAAGGAGGGGGAAGGGAACTCCTCCAGGCAGTGTACCCCGGTGCCCGCGTTCGATTGGAGGAATTCATCATCCAAATACATCGGACCGGACTCGAGATAGTGCTCATCCTGGATGAGGATATCCCCCTTGTAGGGCTAGGAGAAGCGGGGCCACATGGACCGGTCCTCCAGGGATAGGGCGCCCAGCTGAATCCCAGTCGACGCTACGTCTGCTGTGCTGAAGTACCCGTAACCCAATGCCTTGACTTTTTCTTCGATGGCGCAGAGTCTCTGGCGACTAAGCTTGCGCTCAGGTCGTCTATCGATGAGTGTCATCGTATAGTCGAGACATTTTTGGGGGGGGGGGGGGAGGTGAGTTAAGTGGGGCTGCTAGTATATTCAAAAAAGAGGAGAGTGAGGACGGAAAAGGATTGGATTAACTTACGGAGTACCTAGTAGAGTACTCGAGGTCAGCCCACAGGTACAATTTCCACTGCTCTCAGTACCTCAGAGCTAGGTCTTATCTGTCCACCGATAAACCTTCGAGCGGACTTCAATTATGCGTCATCCGAAGCCCGAGTTGATGGGCATCTTGAAGATGGACCCATTGGGAAAGTTCGCACCCTCATCGAAGTGAAACCAGTGCATCGAAGTCTAAAAAGGGCATTGATCAACATGCAGAAAGCCGCGCAAATGGTAGCATGGATCAATTCGGATCCAGATCTTGACGGTAACCTCAATAGGATTGGCCGGTAAGTCCTCTCAACATCTTCCATGCTTCAGGGCACTAATAGAAGGGAATGTGGGTAGGCGAGTGCATGTCTCCCAGAATTGGCACCAGGTATTTCTTAATTTGCTGGAAACGATCAAGACTATGTCGACTATCCGAGCAACAAGCCTGGCCGAAGTATGGGCCACCATTTCCTTATAATGCATGAGTACGGCGCATGAAATATAACATCATCCGTCCAGATGAATGAACTGGGTGCCATTCTGCATGCGACTGCTTTGTGGGCACATTCAGACTTGCGTGAGGAGGAGCGCCGACAAAATTAGCCGGACAGACAGTGTCTTGGGGTCGTCCTGGATGTTGCGCTTAATGGTACCTACACCAGATTATCGCATGACGAGGTAGCTGTTTCTTACCAGAAAAGAAGAAAAGAAAGAAAACTCTCTATGGCACCGTGCTCAACGATACTCTCGGAAAGTGATCAGATGTTGAGTTTAGATATACATACGGGAAAACTGTCTTTATCGGCCAAATCAAATACAAGCGCAGCTGCCTTTCAGCCCAACCTCATTACCTCCATGAAATGTGCAATTCTCCTTATCGTCTGCCTGGGAATGGTGAAGGTGAATCTAAACGGGGAACCAGGCCCATGGCAATTGCCAAGGAGAGGAGAGAGGAGAAGCAAAGGCTTTACTATTGTTCTTCACTAGTCCTACCCATCTCCTGGGTTTGATCTCGAATTCTTCATGTTCGGCGACCCGCTTGTGCATATTCTCATCTACCTGCCATTGAATCACGGCGCTGCATTCGATGCTGGATGCAAACGACCTAGTAGTGATAACAGCTACTATCGATATTCCCGGCCGCGTGATCTTACTGGCCCGCACTTTTTGTACAATTTCAGCGATAAAGTGCTACCTACCAACCTTATCTCTACTCAAATTGCCAACCCGGCGAGTGGCAACTCTGCCCAGCAACAATTACGATGATTGGCCGCCTGTGAGGGTTACATAGAATCGATCATTGTAGTTAAGATGCATATTTGCTGCTCCCCTTATACACGCCTGCTCTACCCGCCCAAAGTTTGTTTCGGGCATCTCACCACCGTACGATCGCTCGATCAAAATGGCTACAAGCATGAAAGCTTCGAACGACAGTTGCACCACTAAGTCGGGCGAGGTGGACGATGGAGCGCACAGCGGGGTAGGAGAAGTGGTCGAGTTGAAGGCAGGTAGCTGCACATTCGTCCATCTGGCATTCGGTAGTATGCTGACATTGACCTGTGGAAGAGCAGAAGCCTTTCTCTCGATTCACAATCCTGTCGCTGACTGTGGTTCTGATGTCAACATGGGAGGCCTTTTCAAGGTAAATCCGCGCTGTCGCTGAACAGATGATGGCGCTCAGTGGGCTGACGACCACAATTTGTACAGTACGATGGCAGCGGGTCTTGTCAGTGGTGGTCCTGTTTCGCTGGTCTATGGGTATCTTTGTTCGTTCTTCTGCCTCAATTGGTTCACGGATGGTTTTGACCAGAAGGATAGTGGCAGTCGTTGGCTCGATTGCGACCGCAGCGTCGTTGAGTGAAATGGCGTCGATGTGAGTGCCTCCTGCCGAAGATTGAGTGCACCAGGCTCACACTACTTTCTCTATAGATACCCTACCGCAGGGGGCCAGTATCATTTCACTGCCAAATTTGCGCCAGAACAATTGCGGAGATCCTTCAGCTGGGCTGTTGGATGGATCGGTGAGCTCTTCAGCCGCAGCGGGCCAGCAAGACCAGCTGATCTTTGCGAAACACCATTTTAGGGACATTCGGTTGGGTGTCATTCACTGCCAGCGCCCCTTATCTCTCTGCCGGTATGGTTCAGGGCCTGGTGGTTCTCACCCGCGAAACGTATCAGCCCCAGCGCTGGCATGTATCGCTGATCTACTGGGCTATGGTCGGATTGGCCACCGTTCTGAATGTGTGGGGTAGTCGTCTGCTATCCTTGGTGGAGGCCATTTCACTATTGATCCACTTGGTCGGATTTGTTGCTATTCTGATTGCTGTCTGGGTTTGTGCGCCGGCAACGAATGACGCGCACTTCGTATTCACGACATTCATCAATAGCACTGGCTGGTCTTCTGATGGACTGGCCTGGTGTCTGGGTATGCTCTCAAGCTGCTACGTTTTGACAGGTTTGTGCTCTGTCTGTCTGGCGTTGGCCTCATACGTTGATCCTAAATATTGGCACAGGCTACGACGGGGCAATACATCTGTGCGAGGAGATGGCCAACGCCACCACAGCCGTTCCATACTGTATGCTTGGCTCCCTGGCTATCAACGGCATCCTCGGATTCGCATACCTTGTTACTATTCTTTTCTGCATGGGAGACATGGAGAGTGCGCTGGACACTGGTACAGGATATCCGATTATTGAGATCTTCCGCAATGCAACGCAATCTTCGGCCGCGAGTTGTGTTATGACCGCCGTTCTCATCATCACGGCATGGCTGGCTACGATCGCGCTGCTGGCATCGACCGCTCGAATGGTCTTGTCCCTGGCTCGGGATAGAGGTACGGTGACTTGCTCAACTGCGTGCTGGGATTCAACACGCTGATGAAAAATCTAGCCCTCCCATTTTCTGCTTATTTTTCCCACGTTGACAATCACACCCACCTACCAACACGTTCTATCCTTGCCACCACCGGCCTCCTCGTGTTATTCGGACTGATCAATATTGGATCGACCACGGCTTTTAACGCGATCCTCTCTCTCGCTGTTCTCGGGCTGCACGTCTCCTATGTTGTTCCGATTATCTTCTTCTTGTGGCGTCGCATTTGGCTGCCGCATAGCCTGCAGCCGGGGCCGTGGAGTCTTGGTCGGGTTGGAATCATCGTCAACATTGTCGCCATTCTTTATCTCTGCTTCACGAGCATTTCCATGGTCTTTCCCGCTTACCAGCCGGTTACTCCTTCGAACATGAATTACGCCTCGTTGATCTTCGGGGCTGTCTTGCTGTGGAGTGGGGGATTTTGGTTATGGCGAGGCCGAAAGGAATATGATGGACCCGTGGTTGTTCTGGCCGATGGATGATGATTTGTTGTGTGGGTATTGAGAAGATCTCAAGTGCGTCTCTTGATGAGTATTTAGAGGTACCTAGTAGTCAGTACATTGATAGTGGGTCAATGAGGGTAGTGGGGGCGCACCTGACTTTCCTGCGACCGAATCTAGACCGAATAACAGTACATACAGTACATAAAGTACCCAGTACAGACAATACATACAGTACCGTATTTCCACATCCCATCCGGCTGCCTGCCTCTTCTTATTATCCATGGTTCTTTTCTCTCTTTTACTTCACTTCCCATCGCTCCTCTCTCTTCCTCTACTTTCTTCCTCCTCACCACAGTCAATCCATCGCCATGGCACAGTTCCCACCGGTATTCCGCCGTCTACGACGTCCACTCCGACGAGGCCCCCTACCACGTCTCCTCGCCACGATCACCATCGCCCTCGTCTCCTGTGCCGTGGGATTCTACCTGCTCCTGGCGTACCCGCTGGCGGACGATCCCCGACTGGTGCCGGCCAGCGTGCAGCGCGCCCGCCACATCCTGCTGGTGACCGCCCACCCGGACGACGAGACCCTCTTCTTCAGCCCGACCATCCTCTACCACCGCACCAACCCCGAGGTGACTCGCGCCCTGCTGGTCCTCTCCTGCGGCAACTACAACGGGCTCGGCGACACCCGCCAGGAGGAAATCCACCGCAGCTGCGACCGTCTGGGCATCGCGCCGGAGCGCTGCATCGTCCTCGACCGGGGCGACCTGCAGGACAACCCCAAGGTCTGGTGGGACCAGGATCTCATCCGCGAGGTCGTCGCGCAGTACGTGCAGCAGTGGCACATCGATCTGCTGTATACCTTCGACGACGGGGGTGTGTCGGGGCATGTGAACCACCGCGCTGTGAGCGGGGGTGTAAGGTGAGCTTTTCCCTTCCCCTTTCCCTTTCGATACTTCTCCCCAATATCCATTCCCTATGCCCGGCTGGCAGAAGGTAGGGGCCAGCTAATGAGTCAACGGTGCAGAAAATTCATCCAAACCACCCCCACCGCCCCGCCCGCCTACATGCTGCAGAGCGTCTTCCTGCTGCGCAAATACGCCTCGTTGGTGGACTTGCTGCGCACCGCGCTGCCCTTCACCGGGCGCATTCTCCGCGCGCTGATGGTGAGCCCCGAACATGATCCCGGTCTTGCGGTCGCAGGCCGCTACGAGGACACGGCGCTGCTGGTCAGCTCGTGGGAGACCTACCGCGTGGCGCGGACGGCGTTCGCCCAGCATGCGAGCCAGTACTCGTGGGACCGCGTGTTGTATCTGGTGGCTAGTCGGTATATGTGGTTCAATGATCTGGTGCGCGTGCAGTAGCTTTTCAGCTTGTAAATTTCATGCAGTGGTTGTTTAGAGGGGGTGGTTGATTTTGGGGAGTATACTAGGTACGAACTACCGGGTCCGGGATTTAGGGCACTGGAGGGACAACCACGAGTCTACAGATAACGATCGATACCACGAATATGAACAATGAGCTAATGTACATAACATCCCTCGAGAACTGAAACACGAAGCTACACCATCTTCCCCTCGGACTTGGCCGCCTCCGTGCGCGTGGGATCCGGTCGTCGCGCGGCGCGTCGCCCCCGCGCCACGCAGAAGCAGACGGCCCCCACGAAGGACAGCAGGAACACCACGATCACGAGGAAGGAGAGGCGCTGGTCGCAGTGCGCGAAGAACTTGATCCACCGCGCATCCCGCCCGTGCCACGACGAGGTGCCCAGGTGCTGGAACAGCGGGGTGTTGACGTATCCGTTTAGCATGTGCAGGGTCGGGTGGTCCGGGGTGCCGGCCAGGACGCGGAGGGCGGACCGGTTCGATTGCAGCGTGAATATTGTCCTACCACGGGGAGCTTACGTTAGGGGCTTGTGCGTCCGGGCGGAAAGAATGCAAAACAACTTACGAGGCATAGTGACAGCCTGTGCTGAACATGATGGTGATGTAGGGGAGCAGCGCCCACCGCCGGTTGAAGCGGGGCAGGTTGTCGACCAGCGCGCGCACGTAGGCGTCGTTGGGCGCCGCGAGCATCATCCCCACCGAGATGCCCACGGGGTGCGCGGCGGGCGCCACGAACTCGAATTCGCGGAGGGGGTCGAGGGACTGTCTGCACGCGAGATCCATGTCTAGGATTGCTCCTGTTGAGCATCGTTGTTAGAAAGAGTGCTTCGCTGTTTCCTTTGGAGAAAAGGGGAAAGACATACCGCCGTATGTATGCAGCACCATATACCGCAGCGCATCCACCCGCTGCACCAGCGCCGGATATCCCTCCCACATCGCCAGCAGATCCGGATACTGGCTCTTCACGAACTCGCGGGCGTTCTCATCCTCCCACAGGAACACCTCCCAGTCCGGGTGATGGTCCAGACACTGTGCGCGGGCACTCAGCCATTCCGCCCGCGGCGCACTGGGGCCCAGGTGGACGTGATGGAGGCGGTTGGGGATGCGCGCGTTTTCTGGGGGACCGCTGCTGTTGGCGTAGGATGTGAAAGTGACGTCGAATCCGTCGCGTTGGGTGGAGAGGATCGATTCGGCGGCGGAGGTCTTCCAGACGAAGGGCAGACGGAGCAGGAGATATAGTTCGTGCATGGGCAGGAACAGACCCGCTAGTGTGATCACCGCGACTGCGACGAAGAGTAGCCGTACCCGTAAACAAGCCATCGTATCGACAGTGGACGCTGGTTATCGGCGAGAGGAGACACAAAGAATGATGAAAAGGTGGGTGTGTGTATGGGTGCGTGTGTAGAGTCACGTAAAAAGCATCGAGCCAAGAACCTCCTCGGGCCGCGTGTTCAACATTGTTGGCGAGATCCAAGGGGGATGAGATGTCACGGTCATGTAACCACCCGCGAGGCTCATTGCATTATTCAACGGAGCCCAGCCCAGCCCAGCCTGCAGGTTCGGCCAGCATGCATACAAGCCGCCATGATAATGGCTGCCTAGACCTTCACCTGTACGACCTTTTCCCGATTCCAGGATGAGACCGACCTGCCGATTGGTGTAAGCGTGTAAGCGTGTAAGCGTAAAGCCTGCAACCTGGCCAGGCAAACTAGCCCCAAACAAGGCATTCTGGTCGTCTGTGGTTCCGAGGGCAGTGGAGCCGACCAGAGAGAAGATGAGGGCATTCGGGTTCCGCGGGTTACAGACGGACAACCCCCGAACAGCCACCGGGTGGGGGCCGGTCAACCTTCGCCGCATCGGAGGGATGAGTGCAGGTCAGAACAAGTAAGATTGTAGATTGTGATAGTGATAGCTGAGACAAGCACTTGGACCGGCCGTGCTGATGCAAAGCCAAGTCCAACCCTTCCAGAGGTGGAGGGGAAGAATTGGAAAATATGGTGGAAAACCCCAGCAGTGTGTGGACTGTCACTCGCTAGGCAGGACAACCAAGCTTTTTTGAATTTTGGCGGCTAAGGCTGGAAAAGGGGTGCAATTCCGTAGGGCTGAACTAAATCGGAACAGAATAAGACTTGACCCTGAATCACACACCGACTGGAACCCTCGGCCATTTCCGCCTTCTGCCACGAGTTTCAGATTACAGCCACGTCCCGCCATTTGGTGCCATTTGGTGCCATTTGGTGGGTGTTTGCTCGCCTAAACCTTCCCGCACGGAAAACCCTGAACTGAAGCCTAGTTTTAGTGCTGGTCAAATGTCTCACATCCGGACTGACAAGCAGCAACGAGGCCTATTCTCAGCCTCTGTTTGGTCCACAAATAGATGAAAATATACACATGATCCATATTTGAGTTGGCCAGGGGGTTTTGATTTTTGGGGTCGTGCGTTCGGGGGTCTTTGGTCGTGAGCAATCATTCTACTCATTATCTTGCTTGCGCCCACCGGGCTCGACCGTTCTGCACCTGCATACGTGATAGGGGATATTGTGGCGGCAGTGGACCGGCGCTGTCTCCAGGCAGACATATTTCACATTCACTTCCGGTGGGATGTGTGTCGCATCGTGTCGTAGACCCAGTAGATCTTGCCCTCCGGGTCTGATATCTCGCTGCCTAGGTATTGTGTAACCGTTGTAACGGATGGCATCTGGCACCACCCACGCCTGGGTCGGCGGCTTAGCATCGGAGCTTAATTATGATGCGTGATTGGAATCAAGCGTGAGGCCGTCGACCATCAACACCACCATTTGTCACCCAGTATAGAACACGAGGAGCAGCAATGGCACCCACTCGGCTGCGACGTCTGGCTATCTTCGCCCTCCTCGGTGCAGTGCTCATGATCTGGACGCTCTATCAGCGAGAAGCGTGGGATAACGAGTTGATGACCTTGGAGAATCAATACCCGTTGCTCTATCATCATGTCCATACGCATCATGCGGAAGGAGGAGGTACGGTCCCGCCCACCATCACAATCCCACAAACACAAAGATGACTGACTGACAACCTGCACAGCCTGGTATATCCCCCAAACATGGATGAGCGCATCCGACCACCAACCCAAGAACATCGTCGAAGCCGCCGAGCTGGCTCTTGGCCTCGTCGACACCGACCAGCGCTATCTGCCGCACTCAGCCATCCCCATGGTCGTGCATCAGACCTGGAAGAACACCCACATCGACACCTGGTCCCAGCTCCTCCGCCACAGCGCCGAGCGCTGGTTGCAGGCGACGGACGGGCAGATGGCGTATTTCATGTGGACAGATGCGGGAATGGCTCAATTGATCCGCAAGTTCGAACCAGCCCTGGAGGTGCAGTTCGCGAGTCTGGCGAGCAACGTCGAGCGATCAGATGTTTTTCGTATCTTGGTATCCAAGTGGATTGGGGGTGTGGTAAGCCCAGCCCAGCCTGGTACAGTATCTGTATCTTTTCGAAGAATGGAGACTGATAGGAGACAGTACGGCGATATTGACACCGAGCCCCTCCGCCCCCCGACGAAATGGCTCAGCGCGACCGACCTCCTCCCCTGGAACGACACGCAGACCGGCGTCGTCTACAACTCGACCGGTCCAGTGCACGCCATCCTCGGGCTGGAGGCCGACTGCCGTGAGGACACCGACACCTACTGGCGCATGGGCTACTCGCAGCCTGTGCAGCTGACCCAGTGGGCCTTTGCCTGGGCACCCGGCCATCCGATCCTGCAGACCTTCCTCGATCACTTTTCAACCACCCTGAACAACATCTCCGCCCGATACGGCGGATCTCTCGACTCCCGGGCTGCGCATCAGGAGCTACTCGCCCTCGATCCGCTCACGCTGACTGGACCTGCCGCGTTCACGGACGCAGTGCGTGGCCGGCTGGAGGAGGTAGCTGATCTACGATGGCAGGCCTTGTCGGGACTTCAAGATGGGGGGAGGAGTAAGTTGGTCGATGATGTTGTGGTTCTCCCCATCACGGGGTTCAGGTATGTGCACCATTTATAGGTTACTGGCTATGACTGACTGAGATCACGATGGCAGTCCCGGCCGCGGGGCATATGGGAACATGGGCTCGAAGCCCATCACCGACCCCTCGGCCAGACTCCGACATCTGGCGCAGGGGTCGTGGCGGGCGTTCGATCTGACGGTGGAATATGGGAAGTTCTGTCGGACGGTGCTGGGCATGTGTCGCGACTGGTCCAAGGTGCCTACTGCTGCGATCGTTTGATGAATCCTGTATGGTGACTCTGTGGTGGTCTGTTATTGTGATGATTATGGCGTTGGGGGAGTCGGGATGCTGGGGATACCCTTTGCGGACGCACTGTGCTGTACACAAGAAACCATAAAATTTAGATTGACTTTATATGTGCATTTAACTATCCACGGCATTGAACACTATGCAACAGGCACAGGAACCTCCTCCCAGCCGTCCTCGCCCGCCTGACGATTTTCTCGGATGAGCTGTAACCCCCGTCTCCCACCGAATCCGTCACCACAGAAACCGTCGTTATCCGCCACCCGCTCAACCGTCTGGTACGATCCTCCATTGGAATGCCTCGCATCCGGCACCCACATCCTCTCACGCACCACCTCTCCAGCGATCTCCGTCCTCCGCGGATTGAACCGTGGAAAGCCGGCCAAGCGACTCACGATCCCGTGCACCAGCGAGTACAGCCGTTCGAAGCGCCGCGTCGTGCGCAGCCACCGGAAGCTCCGCTCCGTATACGCCGTCCGCACATAGGGGTTCATATACACCCCGGAGTCAGTCAGATCATCCACCCTTGCTGCGGCTGCTGCTGGGGAATCCTGCAAGTCTGCGTGAATGATGCAGCACTCGGACCCGTCGTAGAACAAGTCGCTATCCGCGCGAAACCGCACAGGATGGTCATGGCGCTGGAAGTACGTCGCGTTGAAGGCGACCATGCCACCCCAGCAGCTGCGCACACGCACCGCGTCCTTCTGTGCCAGCACGTCCTGCCGACTGCGGGCGTGGCCGGCCGTGCTGAACCACGGATAGAATTGCAGGCCGATCCCGTATCCTTCCAGATCGCGCGTGGCGTAGGTGTCGTAGAACTTGAACGGGTTGATGAAGTCCACGGCGCACGCGGCGCGGTACCGGGCCACGCCGTCGGGTGCATGGGCAGCATTTGTGGAGAAGAGCAGTTGCACTGCGTCGATGGGGTCGAAGATGACGTCGTTGAGGTATAGGATGCGATCGTAGGGCTGGGCTGCGGGGTCATCCAGCGGGCGCAGGGCACGGTTACGTAGCTCGGCCAGGTAATCGGTGCGCTTGATGCGTTGGGCACCCCCTGGGACAGTGACCCGGGAAAACGTGCTCAGGTCGAGATGAAGGTCGGACTGGATGGATTTGTTGCATGCGACGCGGTCCTCCAGGTGCCGGAGCGCTTGTTCGCCTTGCCCGCCGCTGTCGTTTTCATAGATGCTGAGGAAGACGTTGTCTTCGCCGACAAGGTCGATCAGCTGCAGGAGAGACTCGCCCCACCTGCCGCCCGCGATTGTGCCCTCGGGGTCGTAGAGAATGGCTGCGATGAAGATGCGCTCGTTGCGCGGGTTGCCGCGGCCATGCTGGTCGGACTGCGTGGCTTGCTCGACCACCGATCGGTAATGGGGCGGCAGTCGCGTGTAAGAGGGGAAGAAGAGAGCGGTGCAGCTGATCAGAACGATTAAAAAGCTCAGTGCTATTCGAAACAGTTGTCGGATGGAGGACCAGCGAGGTGAAGCAAAGCGACGTGGTCTCGCACGCTGGGGTTGCCAAGGAGTAGGAGTGGATCCGCACAACTTGCGCCAGAAGGAACGATGCGATCGACTGCTAGGAAGAACCAGCCCAGCTTGCTCCCAGTCGGAGACTGAGGCAAATGAGTCGATGGACGAGCGACTGGCGAGGTCGTGATACTCGACTGATTGCACTCTGGGAGGTGGCATCGTGAGCGGTGGGTTATTACTGCTTGGATTCAGTCTGGCATTGTATGTATGTATGTATGTTGATAGTTGATAGGGTTCTGGACTGGCCTGGGGGGAGAGGAGAGTGGGTGACGTGTGGACAAAGTGCGTGCGCTTAAGGCCATCCTAGGCAGCCGTCAAAACAGAACACGGCACGGCCACATTCACTGTATGAACAATGCCACTCACGGGATAGGCTCGGAATCTTCCGAGCAGTAAAACAGCATGCAGCCTGCAACTGCCGCCAGAAGACAGGTCTCATCGATGACCCCCAGCAAGGCAGCCACGCGTTGCCGTGGCGATTGTGCGACCTGCAGGAGAGAGAGAGAAAAAAAAAATTGGGATGAAAAGGAAGGAAGATGAAAGTAACTTGATCAATTTTGGCCAACTACCCAGAGGATATTAAAGCAACACAATGCTCGTCAACCTCGCACTCTCGTTGCTGGCGCTGATGCTCCCTTCGGGGACGGATCTTCCTCACCGCGTGCGGTATTGCTATGCCGGGGGCGAGTACACTACCCTGGCAGACACCGGCGAGCACATTCGCACCGGCCAGATCTATGTGGAGAAACTGACCCCCACGCGAGTCACTCAACCCTACCCCATTGTTTTGATCCACGGACAGGCCCAGACTGGGACCAACTGGCTGAACAAACCGGACGGTCAACCCGGATGGGCCTCGTACTTCCTGGCCCAGGGCTACGAATGCTACCTGCTCGACCAACCCTTCCGCGGTCGCAGTCCCTGGCAGTCGTGGAACGGAGACCGGGAGACTTACTCGGCGGAGCATCTGCAGCGATACTTCACTGCTCCCGAGCGGTATGAGCTATGGCCGCAAGCCAAGCTGCACACCCAGTGGCCGGGATCCGGGGTGATGCACGACCCGATCTTCGACGACTATTACGCCAGCACCGTGCCCTTCGTGAGCGACAACGTACTCCAAGAGACCGCCATGCAGAAAGCGGGCGTCGCTCTGCTCGATAAGATTGGCACGCCCGTGATCCTCCTGGCACACTCTCAGGGCGGCATCATGGCCTGGTTGTTAGCCGATCAGCGACCGGATCTCGTGCAACTGATCGTCTCTCTGGAGCCAGGGGGCCCCCCGTTTCGCGATGTCAACTTCGGAAATGGATCCGCCCGCGCATATGGCTTGACGGACATTCCTATCGCCTACTCGCCTGCGGTGGTCAATCCCGCAACCGATTTGGTGACGACTACCATCCCCGCCACCCACCCGGATGAGGTGGGCTGTGTGATTCAAGCAGACGACCCACCTCCGCGTCAGCTGGCCAAATTGCAGCGAATCCCCGTGGTGCTGGTCACGTCAGAGGCATCGTATCATGCGCCGTACGACTGGTGCACCGTCCGATTTCTGCGCCAAGCAGGGGTGAGCACAGAGCATGTTCGGTTGGCGGACTGGGATCTTCGTGGTAATGGCCATATGATGTTTTTGGAGAAGAACAGTGATGTTGTTGCAGCGCTGGTGCACGATAGGATCCATAAGTTCAATTGAGTACTAGCTAGCAAACGGGAAGCGCGTGTGAGCATGTCAAATCACTGGGAATAATCGCTGCGTGTTGCTTTACCTCGGTATAACCCTTAGTGCCTGAGGCATACAGGTTTCCTCTTTCAGATTAGAAGCGGTCATGTTCGTTTGAGCGGGCGGATGCCTGACTGCCTTGATGCCTCCAAGGAACGTCTTTTACTCCTCGGCTAATCTTCGGCAGAATCCAGAATGATTTTTGACAGCTTCGTCAAGAGATCGGACTGACTGGACAGTGACTGCTGCGTGAATTGCCAGATCTGGAAATGTAACCAACTGCCCCCGCATCCCCAAGTCATCCATAGATAGTTGCTTAATTACAGTACAATCCATGGTCTACCAACATTTCAAGAATGCTTCATCTCTCAATCTTCCCACTCCTTGCCTCCTAACCTACCAACCAGCATAATGCGACCGCAACCAGACCAGGAAATGATCGATCTCTCGCAAGAGCAGCCGGCATCAGTCGAGCCTCCCGAGCCAAGCATTGCCGACAAACGATGGCTGTATGCCCAAATCCTCAGTGCCGGCTTCTCTTTCTTTGTCGCCGGGGTCAATGATGGGAGTTTGGGCTCATTGGTCCCCTATGTGATCCGCTCCTACCATGTGAGCACCAACCTTGTCGTCGTGGTCTACGTATCAACCTTCGCAGGATGGCTGTTAGCCGCCGTGACCAACAGCGCCCTCTGTCAATATCTCGGCCTCGGAGCTATCCTGGCCCTGGGCGCGGCCCTTCAAGTGCTCTCCCACGCCCTTCGAGCCTGGCTGCCCCCGTTTTCGCTTTATGTCGTCACCTTCTTTCTCGCCAGTCTAGGTCAAGCGTACAATGACACTCACGCCAATACCTATGTTGCCTCCGTCAATGCCGCCCATCGTTGGTTGGGGTTTATCCATGCCATGTACATGGCAGGGTGCTTGGTCGGTCCGTTGGTGGCCACGGCTGTGGCATTGGTGGGAACAACAACGCAGTGGAATCTGTTTTATCTGGCGCCTCTGGGCCTGGGGGTTCTTAATTTAGCATTTGTGCTGACGGCGTTTCACAACCAGCTCGCAATCAAGTCTGCTACTTCCGACCCTTCACCGGAGGGATCGCGAGATGATCCACATGCCCACTCCCACTCCAAGAGTCACCGTGCGCTAGTCGAGATCAAGAATACTCTGCGCGTGCCCACGGTCTGGCTTGCCAGTCTGTATTTCTTCTTTTTTCTTGGAGCGGCCATTACTGCTGGAGGTTTGTCATCTCTGCACTGGGTCTGTTTACTAGTGAGTCAGGGACTTATGCGAATCAGGCTGGATGGTTGAATATCTCGTCAACGTGCGGCACGGCAATCTGGATGCGATGGGATATGTCCCCACTGGGTTCTATGGAGGCGCTTTCCTGGGCAGGTTGCTTTTGGCTGAGCCCACCTTCCGACTCGGAGAACGGCGGATGATCTTTCTCTATGCCGTAATATGTGTGGGACTGCAGTTAGTCTTCTGGCTGTGGGTGTCCCTTCGATTCTCCTGGATACGAGGTCTACTGCTAATGCATCACGTGCAGGGTGCCGAGTATCATTGTCGAGGCGGTCGCAATCTGCGTTCTAGGATTCTTTTCTGGACCATTCTTTGCCGCTGTAAGTACTGACATGCTAAGATGTTTCTGTGAGGGACAGCTCGCCGATGCTGACATATTGAGCAGGGTATATCGGTCGCCTCGAAGATATTTCCGCCAGATGTTCGGAGTTCAGCAATTGGTGTGTATATTTCCCGCAGACCGTTCTCCTTCCGTTGCTTGGCTTCTCAACTACAAAGCTATTGACTAACTTTCTGCCAGCATTTGTATTTGTGTTTGGCCAGATCGGAGGTTCTTTGTTTCCCGTCTTGACCGGAATCCTTTCAGCCCGCACAGGAGTTAAAGTCCTGCAGCCTATGCTCGTGGGCCTACTCTGTGCTACGGCGATTAGCTGGCTCCTCTTGCCTAAGCTGCCGAAGCCACGCGATTAGACACCAGATTCCCACAGTTTTCTTTTGCAGGAGTCGGCAGATGATGATCATCAAGTATTTTGGGGGGTCAATGACATATATTGCGAGGATGAGTGTATCAACGTGACCGCACACATTCTAAAATAGTAGCATCCATTCTGCAAGACCACATCAATCCAAACATATTCAGAGGAGCAATTCCCCGGTCTCACCATCTAAATGGTTTTGGACCTCCCATACCTTCCTCTGTTCTGGTCACTGGGTGAAGGTGGCGGACCGAGAGTCACGTGCCTCGCCTGAACGGGCCCGGTCGACAAGCTCGACGCAGATTGGGCCATGACCTGGTGCCATCAACAAGCTGTGAGTGGACTCCACGGAATTCTTGTGATCCTTTTTTCACTTCTGTTTCTGCATCGATGATTACATCCGTATCCACTGAGGGATCCAGAATGGTCCTCGCGGGTCCCCACGAGCCCCCATATCCGCATTCGACATGTCTATTTTTGTTTGTCTGTGACGCCGATCGGGGAGAAAAGAAGTGGGTACCGCGTATGCTTTGTTGCTGGGACAGTGTTGGTCATTTACCCAGATGCTGACCACGTCAGTCGGAAGAAATTCTACATCAACGGCTGTGTCATTCAATCCTGACAATCTTGAATTGCTTGAAGGACTTGTGGCGGAGCAGTGCTTAACTGAGCCAGACACCCACGATGCCAGAGGTGATATATTTTGCGAGGTTTTCCATGCGGCAACCACCCTCTCCCTGCGTAGACAACTCATGAACTACTTGTCAAGGACCTGGACTGGAGCACACCATGCTCATACATTAACGGTGATCTGGGGAAATCCTGTTGTGGGCTGCCATGGCATGGAGGAGGGGTTTGCCGCATGCGGATGTCCCCACAACCCTAACTCAATCGCCTTCCGCCGCCCACCGATTCGACTACCTGATGCTCCATTGTTATGACGTGAGGTTCCAACTTTTGCTCTGACAACACAATATTATGACTGTTATGAAAGTGATATTGGGGTTAATGCCATTGAAAGACTGGAATTCCCTTCTCAGAAACGAAAGAAGCCCCAAGCAGACGCGAAGGATGTGCGCTGTCGGCAGCGGGCATTGGAAGAGGTCATCCTGTGGAAGAAATGCTCTATGAGATAGTGTTTTCCACAGCACCGTGCGAAGTTCAATTCAATCCCTGACAGTAAGATACTGCTCAACCATGTTTTGGGTGAGCTCAACGCAAACTCAACAAGCTGCCGGCGCTCCACACCCCAGGGTATCTTCTTGAGTGGAAGTTTCACAAGAAACACCCAACGTGGTTCCTCAAAAGTGATGTCAAGACTGACTTGGTGTAAAATCCAGAGCTATCTACCAACCACTCGCTATGCTCGGGGCTTATGGACAAAGTGGATCAATTCATGAATGTTGCGATTTGTCAATATTCTGAAAGTTTTGGGTCTTCCAGCATTGGCCGGAGAATTCAGCCTAATGTCGTGCATCTCATTCTGACGTCTTACAAGTGTCCAAAGAGGAACCCAGCAAGTAGGTCGAAACTTGAAATACAGGGCAAAGGTGCAGCACTCTGCTCATCGAGAAATATATCTTCGAAGCATCTTGAAATTAACACCTTATTCCATGTTTTCTTGTCACTTGTCCCTGCTTCGCTCAACATCTATGCAAATTGGTCTAAAGTTTACTCCATCACCTGAAACTCCATTCTTCTGATGAGAATCAATACCCTGCATTAACAATCCTGCCGGCGAGCAACCACGTGTAGAACCGACCATGGCTACCTCGTTCCAACCTAACGTCCATTACACCTTCGGCTCCCCTCTGTCCACCACTGCGCTCTTCGGGACTCGACGAGCGTCGGATATCCTGGAGCAAGAGGGATACACAACCACATACCAAACTTCCACCTCGAGGCGGGGGTCGCGGGTCTTGAGTGGCGGGGGAAGCTCCACGCTGGCGGATGTTGTCAGCTCACTGACTCGTCGCAGCAGCGACGCTATGATCTCGTCGAGCATCACAGATGCGGATTACGCGACACTCCTCGAATGGATTCGAGCGGAGCGAATGCGCAAGCTCCCTGCCGAGGGGAGCAGCTATGACAAGGCGCTTGTCTGGGCGGCTTTGTTTGTAGAAAGACTGCATTCATTTGACACGGCTCTGGAGCAATTTGCCGGGGATAGTCACATGGCCGCCCAGCTTGCCTATGTACACTGTGCGAGTTTACTCGAGGTATGCATGCCTAACCCAGCCACATAGCCATGCCGAATGCTAAGCTGTCTGGTGTAAGCTGGCGGAGAACAATGCCCCTGCGTTGATGGATCTGTTCGGATTCTTCTACCGCTCCTCCATGGGCCTGGGCAACTTGCTGGATCGCACAGAACTCTTCTCCGTATCCCAGGAGATCAAGGACCAACTCATTCTGGCCCTGGCCGACCTCGTCACCCTTGTTGTTGGCGTAGCCAGACACTTCCACCGGTCTTTGAATTCTTCTGACTCAGTCTCGATTGACATCTACAGCACTTTTCCGGGTCCGATTGACAGCTTCAAGGCTCGCTGCGAACATGTCTCCGAGTCGATGTGGCGTCACCAGCTGATCCGGGAGGGTTTGAACGGGGACAAAGGTGAGCGCAATTGCTTTTAAAATCCTCCTATCCGGAACAGTGGCTAATGCTCTCGTGCAACAGTCACCGAGATCCGAGCCCTCAAGGATTGGCTGCAGCCTGAGGACCCCGTGCTAGTCAACGTGGCGGAGACAACCGCACACTTTGCCCAGGAGCGTGAGGAGTCCACCTGCCTGTGGATGACCCCGTACTTGACACGATTCCTCAAAAGCAACCGCAAAACCCTGGCGGTGCATGGTAAACCGGGCTCAGGCAAAACCATTTTGGCGACCGTGATCAACGACCATTTGCAACACCCTGTCGGAGGTACTCATTACAAATCGATCTTTGTCCCGATCAGTAAGTCACACTTCCCAGCACCAAAGAACCTTACTCACAGCCATGATAGGCAGTCGTATCCCAGCCAACACCACCCCTCGTGCAGTCGCCAAGATGATCCTGTCACAGCTCTTCGACAAGCGCATTGGCAATGTGCGACTCTACCAGACTCTGTCGGATGCGTACACACGCAGTCAGTC